GACCGTCAGAGGGCTGAAGGGGTCAGGAAAGGCTTCTTGGAAGAGGAGGGACTGCAGGCATGTCAGTTTCCAGATCTAGAGCACTGAACTCACAGAGTTGCTGGGAAGATCAACTATCTGTGTAAAGTGCTTGGAGACCTTAAATGTCAGTTATTATTATTATTATGTATCCTGTGAAAAGAGTCAAAAGTTATAGGTCAATCCAGAAATAAAACTGAGGCAAAAACAACCTTTATCAGGGACCTGCTATAGGCTCTGTACTCGGACCCTGTGCTCAGCTCTGGGGGAAGGTACAGCCAGGTTGTTTGTTCTCAGGGCATGTATATTCAAGTACATTGGGTGATTTTTTTTTTATTACTGAAACTTAAATATACAATAAGAAAAGAAAAATGTGTTATAAACTAAAATGTTGAAACTTTAATACAAAATAAGGAAAAAAAAGCATGTCATGTGCACAGCAGAATGTAAAGAGGATTCAAAACATATAGCAATAAATTTCCATTTCAAGAAAGCCCATATAATAAATACTATGCATTGTGTTAAAAGCTGTCCACCTTTGCTTTCTTGTTAGTTTTCTTTTGCTCTCTGCTCTGTGCTTTTTAGCTTTTTACTTTGTTCTTTCACCCCCCTTCCTCCACCCCCCTTCCTCCACCTCTCCCCACAAGGCTACAATTGAGTGCGGATACGTTTATATATAGATATAAGTGTGAATCCATAGATATACATACACATACATACATATGCTTTCCCTAACAATTTCTACTTTTGATCTTTTTTTTTTTTTTGGTGAGGCAATCAGGGTTAAGTGACTTGCCCAGGGTCACACAGCTAGTGTCTGAGGTCAGATTTGAACTCAGGTCCTCCTGACTCCAAGGCTGGAGCTCTATCCACTGTACCACCTAGCTGTTCCCTAGTTTTGATCTTTGTTTTTATGTTTATGCACATCTCTTATTTCCTATCCCTCCTAACTCTACTACTTTGCTTCTACCTGCTACCCTGCCCTCCTGTTATTTAGCCTATCCCCACTCCAAGGATCCCTCCGTTATCCTCCCATTCTCATAAATCTAAACCCCTTAGATTCTATACCCCCTTTAGATTAGGTGTTCTTAACCCAGGGTCCTCAGTCCTCATGAGGTCTGAGGATAGGTGGCAGGGGGGTCCATGAACTTGGATGGGGGGAAAATGACATTTTTATCTTCGTTAACTTTTGGTTTCCTTTATCATCTTATGCATTTTATTTTATGCATTTAAAAACATGATTCTGAGAAAAGGTCTACTGGCTCCATAAGACTGCCATGGAGTCCATAAGACTCCATGTTGCAAAAAAGATTAGGGACCCCTGATCAAAACTACCTATACTTATCATTGTAAGTCTTCATTCCTGACCTTTTTATTTCCTTTTCCTGTCTTATTTATTTATTTATTTTTAAAAGTGTGGCTTGGCTACCAACTCTCTGTGTGGCCTTGGACAACTTCCATTTACTTTCTGGTTCTCAATTTTCTTTTTGTAAAATAAGTACTTAGGACATTCTGAGAAGGGGTCCATAGGCTTGCCCTGACTGCAAGGGATCCATAACACTGAAAAGGTTAAGAACTCCTCAATCAGATGGATGATATCCAATTGCAGATAGCTGTAATGCAGAATATTACAGGATAACTGCATTAAAGAATTACAAAGTGCTATGTTAGCATTCCTGCTCTTTGCCAAGAGCTTGGGGGTCAGGGGGCTGGCATAACTTCGCAATGTTCAGAGTTCCCTAGCCCTCAAATGCCCTGAATCTGTCCTAAATGATAAGTAACAGAGGCAATCTGGGGTAATGGATAGAATCATCTTTGGTGTCAAGAAGACTCAGGTCTGACGTAGATCTGCCATTGTGACCTTGAGCTCAACTTAGTCACTGACAGATCTCTAGGGATTGAAGTCGCTCCATAGTTTCTGGTCTGCACTGGCAGAGGGAGTTTCTTCCAACCGTGAAATCACTGCTCTGAACCCCTCCCCACCAAAGATAGCAGAAAGGGGATGATGTAGGAGTGATTTCATGGTAGGTCAAGACTGGTCTTGGGGATGTGAGAAGATGTAATATGGAGAGAGATTGGGGAGGCCCTGGCCCAAGATGGGAGAGCATAGCAGGGAGCGTGTTGGCCCTGCTTCCAGCCAGTGATCCAGGTGATGGTCCTAGGTCTTTTTCTTGTGCCATCTTTGTGATGGGGAGAGAGAGAGAGAGAGAGAGAGAGAGGGAGGAGGAGGGAGAGGAGGGGGAGAGAGAGAGAGAGAGAGAGAGGAGGGAGAGAGAGAGAAAAGGGAGGGAGGGAGAGAGAGAGAGAGAGAGAGAGAGAGAGAGAGAGAGAGAGAGGAGGAGGAGGAGGAGGAGGAGGAAAGGATGGAGGGAGGGAGAGAAGGAGGGAGGAAGAGAGAGTGAGAGCATTCTGTAGTGGCTTATAGGTGTAGGCAGCCTTTGGGGCATTCATTGTCAACTAACCACGGTCCTAGACTATGACTGGGCCTCATAGGGTGGGGGTGGGGCATGTACTCTCCTTAGGACAAGGCCTGTGTAGTCGGTCATCTTGATAGGAGACTGCAGGACCTTGAGTTAGCTCCAGATTCATGGGGTTTGTGCCCCACAGCAAAAGTCTGTCTATGGTTCTGTGGCCCTGATTACTGTAATTTTCAGGCCAAAATGCATACTTGTAAATTCCTTACAATCTTAAATAGGCTCCAAAGAGCTCCTGCCACAGTACATAATTGGAACTCTTCTATTTTTCAATGAAAAGTAAAGGTTACTGTCTAAATGTAAAGGTTATAAGATGCAGGGTCACAGAATTCTGCCTTGTGCATCATGGGCACTTAATAATTTTTTTAAAAAATTTGTCAAATTGGGTTTTCTCCTACCATCACCCCCACCCCCTCCCTGGAAAGAAACACATTCCAATAAGAGTCTTGGTTATTGGCACAAAATTTGGATTTTCTTGGTTTGCACTATGCAATCATAGGTTCATGAAATATTCTGAGCTAGAAGGGATGTTAGAACATAGTGCCTTAAACTACAGGACATGGGAGCACATGGAATGTTAGAGCTCTTCCTACCCCCCTTCTAGATCCTCTGAATCCAATTCTAATGCCATGCCCCACAGAGTCTTGTTGATGGCTTATCAAAATAACTCTAAGAATGTGTTTCTCTTTGTGAGAGGGTCATTTTCTGCCTGTACGATTTGAATAGCTCATTGTGTGTAGCTTTTAAGGTATGCGTATATCTGATACGTAATTATCTTTCATTTATGTTTATACATACATATAGAAGCAACATGTAATTTGCATGAGTGTATGTGTACATATTTGTTCAGTCATTTCAGTCATGTCTTGACTCTCTGTGACCCCATTTGGGGTTTTCTTGGCAAAGATACTGGAATGGTTTGCCATTTCCTTCTCCAACTCATTTTACAGAGGAGGAAACTGAGGCAAACAGGGTGAAGTGACTTGCCCAGGGTCAGACAGCTAGGAAGTGTCTGAGGCCAGATTTGAACTTGGGAAGATGAGTCTTCCTGACTCCAGGTCTAATACTCTATCCACTGTGCCACCTGGCTGCCCATGTATGCACACATGTTTGTATTAATGTATATACATATGTGTCACTGATTGTGTGTGTCTGTGTGTGTTATGGAGGTGGACCATGGTATGGTGGCTTTTGTAGTCAGGAAGTCTTAGGTTCAAATCATAAGTGATTATATGAGCTGTCAGTGCCCCAGAGGACTTCCTGAGACTGTGAGCTGTAGATCAGTTGTTGATCTGCGTTGGTAAAGGGAATTTCTTCATTAGGAGGTAGAGGCATTTAGGTAGCCCAGTGGATAGAGCATTGGTCCTGGGTTCAAGAAGACCTGAGTTCAAATCCAATCTCATTCACTTAATAGGTCTGTGACCCTGGGCAAGTCATTGAATCTCTATCTACATCAGTTTCTGTATTTGTAAAATGGGGATAATTAGCACACCTACCTCCTAGGGTTGTTGTGATGATAGAAGGCGATACTATTCATTAGATACTTTGTAAACCTTAAAAGTAGGGCAGTTAGGTGGTGCAGTGGATAGGGTGCCAGGCCTGGAATCAGGAAGATCTGAGTTCAAATCCAGCCTCAGACTTACTAGCTATGTGACGCTGGGCAAGTCACTTAAACCTGTTTGTCTCAGTTTCCTCATCTGTCAAATGAGCTGGAGAAGGAAATGGCAAACCATTTGTGTATCTGTCGAGGAAACCCTAAAAAAGAATCATGAAACATGAATGAAATAATTGAACAACAAAAACCTTAAAGTGCTATCTGAATGCCAGCTCTTACTGTTATCAGGGGAGTTTCTTGCAGCAGTGAAATCACAGATGTGACCAGGCATATTTCAATATCTAGACCAAAGGGGTTCATAACTTGGAGCCTGTAAACTTGCTTTTTAAAAAAATTGATAACTATTTCAACATAATTTATTTATTTTGCAATTCTATATATTTTCTTTTGTATATTTTAAAACATTAGTCTGAGAAGGAGTCCTTGACAAAAAAGGCTAAGAACTCCCGACCTGGACCATACCTGAACCTGCCATTGCAGGTCTCCTCAATTCCTGACCTAAGGATCATCCTTGCCTTTTTTTTTTTAAATTTGCACTGATTTTTTTGGAATTCTAATTCTCTGTGTAACTTTGGTCAAGGTCCTTTCTCTTTCTGAGTATCCATTTTCTCTTATGTACAATAAAGACTCGGGACAAGATAGGGCAGGTTTCTTCAATCTGGCATTCATTCTGAGGTCCCTCCCAACTCTGACACATAGGTTTTATATCCCAAGATCTCTTTAAATCTGGGAAATCTTGAAATGTATCACCTAATATAAGCCCATTCCTCGCTAAAGGTGTGAGTGGTGATGTTTTGAAGAAGCATGAGTTTGGAGTTCAGGTCAATAAGTGTTCTCGTCCATATTAAATACCTGTGTTCCTCTCTCCCTCTCCCTTTCTGCTTCATTTATAGAGCTTCAGGAACAGTGTACACAGCAATGGATGTGGCCACTGGACAGGAGGTGAGTGTCAATCATTGACAACTACTTTTGAGATAGTAATGGTTTTTGTCTTTTTTTTTTTGAGGCAATGGGGTTAAGTGACTTGCCCAAGGTCACACAGCAAGTATGAGTGTTATGTGTCTGAGACTGGATTTGAACTCAGGTCCTTCAAGGCTAGAGCTCTATTCATAGTGCCATCTAGCTGCCCCTTGTCTGTCTTTTCTTTTTGATCCCACCTTTGGGACCATAACTCTAGTTGGTAGAATTGCCTTATTACTTACTCAAAACACTTTTTCCTATAGCAAAATTTGTATTGTCATGAAGACCACTTCTATGGAATGGAGTAAAAGCATCTATTCACATCTGCACCCTAAGCACAGGGAAATAGGTAAAGAAGGCGAGTTTGCCGTGGGGTCTTGGGCTGGTCACTTTCTATTGGTCTCTTTAATTATAAAATGAGGAAGTTGGATTATGCAGCTTGTAAGGTCCTTTCCAGACAGAGGTGTCAGCAGGCACTTACTTAGTAAGCACTTACTATGTGCCAGACACTGTGTTTAGTCCTCGGGAAACAGTAGAAACAAAAAGAAGGGCAGCTCCTGCCCACAAGGAGCTTACATTCTAGCGGGGGGGGAAGACAACATATAATAGGAGGCTGAATTGGGTGGGGAGAGGAAGGGAGCATGATGATGGGGCACGGAAAAAGGCACCTCATGTTGGGTCATGGGGGAAAAAGTCTGGAGAGACAGAAGCAGGGTCCAGAGAGGAATGAAGGTGTGAATGTGGCTGGCCCTGCGGCCCTTCTGTAAAATGGGGGCTCTGGGAGGGAGCAACAGATCAGAAGAAGGGGCCACAGCCTGAGAAGCCTGCAGGGGTGGAGGGATCTTCCAGGGCAAGAAGGCTGTGGGAGCATGGTGGTGAACACATAACAACACTATGTTTTAGATTCTATCATTCTGTATTCCAACAGCCTTTGATTATGTAATTTTGAGATCCACTCTAGCTCAAAGATTCCATTTTATATAGTCTCTTCCCATTCAGTTTGAGCAAACATACATTTATTAGGCACCTACTGCATTCAAGGATACAAGACAAAATAAGAAAAAATGGTCCTTGTGCTCAAGGGGCTCTCGTTCTATTGGGGTGGGTACAACAAGGAAATGGATAAATAAACGCATGATTATTTGAGGGGAGAGAGCAATGCCTAAGGGAATTTGGAGCTGGTGCGTGAACTAACCTACGTGGTACAGGGGTTTCTAGAGCGCTGGGCTTGGGAGTCGAGAAGACCTTAGTTCAACTCCAGCCTCAGACAATTACTAGCTGAATGACCCTGGGAAAGTCACTTAACCTCTGTTTGCCTTAATCCACTGGAGAAGGAAATGGCAAACCACTCCAGTGTCTTTGCCGGGAAACCCCGTGGCCAGTATTGGTGTGCTGTGGTTCGTGGGGTCATGAAGCGTTGGACACGACTGACCCACAATGGCAAGCATGAGCTAAGCTTTCCAGGAAGCCAGGGATTGTGCAGGTGAAAGTTTCCTCACTTGTTGTTGTGTTTTGTTATTGGACCCTCTTGGCAGTCTGGTGAAGCCAATGGGCTCTTTTTCAGAATAATGTCTTTTAAATGCATCAAATAAAATATGTAGCTTTCTAAGGGAAACTAATTTTATAGAAATTAGCACTATAGTCAGCCATGACTGTTTGGTCCCCTGATCCATGTTCCCTGGGGTTCCTGGAAGACCCAAGAGGCCCCGTTCCGTGGGAGGCAGGAGGAGACGTCTGATGTCACGTTGGCCTGTGTTGTCTGTGGTCATAGCCTGCGAATGGAAGTCGTCCCATTAGGATGGCTGATGCAGCGCCTCAGGAAGGGCTGCTCTCTGTCATCGGGGATTATGGATCTTTGATGGAGCTGTCAGCACATGGCATTTGCTGTTCTGAATAATGGATGGAAGTGCAGTGCCCCAGGGTTGGTCTGGGGGCCAGGAGCTATTGGATGTCATTAGGAGGGAGGAAACCACAGGCATGGTGGCGCTTCTTTTCTCAGGATGAAAAGATCGCTGTAAGGAGCCCTGGAAGCCATCTAGTCGAATTTGGCCACCTCACTTTAGTGATGATGAAAGTGTGTGTCTGGTGTCACCCAGGAACAGATTGAGGCATCGTTTGAGCTTCAGATAGGGTCGTCTTTCTCTTTCATTAATCATAATAGCAATAACAGCAGTAATGCTAGCTAGCGTTTATGTTTACAAAGAACTTGACAAATGTTATCTTATTTAGTCCTCATAACAGCCCTGGGATGGAGGTGCTATTATTATTCCCTTTTTGCAGATGAGGAAACTGAGGCAGGCAGAGATTACATGACTTGCTCAGGGTTGCACAGCCCTGAAATGTCTCAGGCCGGATTTGAACTTAGGGTTTCCTGACTCCATGTCCAGCGCTCTATCTACCACTCCCTCTATTTGCCTAAATCAGGAGCTCATGTTTCTCACTCTGAAGTATCTTATATGTATAAGATACATAGTGGATGTTTATTAAAGGTTTCCAGAATAGATTCTAATCAGATGAAAGTTTGGCTGAGTTTCCAGTTATGTTCAGCTCAACAAGCCTTTATTAAGGGCAGGGCCCTGAGCTAGGGGCTAGGGTTACAAAGATGAATAGGGTATATGATGTCTGCCCTCAGTGAGTTTTCAGTCTAGCAAGAGCGCTAAGACATGGACACATCATTGCATTTTGGAGTTGAGCATGCAGCGATACATTGGTCATTGACTTTAGAGTGGAAAGAAGGATTAAATGTCTACTATGTGCCAGGCACTGTGCTAAACATTTTACAAATATTATCTCATTGGATCGTCTCAACAACCCTGGAAAGTAGGTGTAAAATCCACATTTTATAGTTGAGGACACTGAATCAGACAGAGGCTAAGTGACTAGCTCAAGGTTACCTCGCTACTAAGTGTCTGAGGCCAGATTTGAGCTTCCTGACTGTAGGCCCAGCATTATTTCTGCTACTAGTTGCCTTTCTTGGAAGTCTTGATTCTAGGTCCCCCAGCTTTACCACTTAATAGCTTTGTGATCTGGGCAAGTCACTCTCTTTTGTCCTCTGGGGGAAGTAGAGGTAAAGGGAGAGAGAGGGGAAAGGAAAGGGTGAGAGTGAGAAGGGGAGAAGAAGAGAGGTAGAGAAAGGAGTGGAGGAGAGAGGAGAAGAGAGAGAGGGAGAGAGGAGAATAGAGAGAGGAGAGAGAGAGGAAGAGAGAGAGAGAGGGAGAGAGAGGAGAATAGAGGGAGGAGAGAGAGAGAGGGAGGGAGATAGGAGAATAGAGGGAGGAGAGAGAGAGAGGAAGAGAGGGAGAGAGGAGAATAGAAGGAGGAGAGAGATAGGAGAATAGAGGGAGGAGAAAGGAAGGGAAGGAGGGAACGAGGGAGAGAGAAGAGTGGGGGGGGTAGACAGGGAGGAGGAGGGACTAGATGATCTTTAAGACCTTTTTCTGTTCTTGTTTATCCTTTGTGTTTTTTTGCCCTCTAGACCAGGGGTGGGGAACCTGGGGTCTTGAGGCCACATGTGACCCTCTAGGTCCTCAAGTGCAGCCCTTTGACTGATTCCAAACTTCACAAAACAAATCCCCTTAATAAAAAGGATTTGTTCTGTAAAACTTGGACTCAGTCAAAAGGCCGCACCCAAGGACCTAGATGGTTGGCAACATATGGCCTTGAGGCCACAGCTACCCCACCCCTGCTGTAGACCCTTTTACATTACTGTTCCTCAGATATATCCTTCTCCCTTCTCCAGAGAGCCATCCTTTAGATCAAGAAATTCTAAAAATAGAAAAAAGAAAAAGAATAGAAATGTAAAACTGAATACATTAAAAAAAAAAAGCCAGTCAGGCCATACACCCATACCCCCCAGTCCTCTTCCAAGAATGCTGGGTGGTACCTTCTCATTTCTCTCTCTTTTTTTTTTTTTTAAGTGAGGCAGTTGGGGTTAAGTGACGTGCATAGGGTCATACAGCTAGGAAGTATTATGTGTCTGAGGTCACATTTGAATTCAGGTCCTCCTGACTCCAGGGCCGGTGCTGTATCCACTGCGCCACCTAGCTGCCCCATCATTTCTCTTTTTCAGGGCCAGGCTTGACCATTGAACTTTTCTAGAATTCAGTTTTAATTGTTTTTCAACAAATCCTTTTAAAGCACCTGTAGTATATAGGGCCCAAGATTTAATATAGGAAATAGAGAACTGCATAAGCATTATTTTTGCCCTCAAGGAGCTTACAAAGTTTCGAATTTGGTCTTTCCATTTCCAACAAAAAAATTGGCATACATATAATACAATACATATGTTATGTATACACATATATTGTACATATGTGTATATTATATGTGGATGTATATGTATACACATACATAGTGTACTTTGTGTTTATAAAAGATCTTATATTCATACCTAATGGGATTGACAGTAATAATAATAGCATGTATATAGTAACTTTAAGGTTTTCCAAGTGCTTTGCAAGTATTATCTCATTCTATCCTCACAATAACCCTGTGAGGAAGGTGCTATCATTATCCTCATTTTACAGATGAAGAAACTGAGACAGAGACAGGTTAAGTGACTTGCCCTAGGTCCCAGGGCTAGTAAATCTCCAAGGCTAGATTTGAACTTGGGTCTTCTCAACTTCAGGCCCAGGGCTGTGTCTGCTGCACCACCTAGCTGCCTCAGTCTGTCCCAGGAGGAGTCCTAGTATTTAAAGCCCTTGGCTCTATGGCATTACTGTCTTCCTGATGATGTAGAGGAGGTAGTGTGGTACGGTAGAAGGGACATTGGATTTGCAGCTACAAAAATGCTTCAGATTCTGGCTGTGTCACTTACTTACGTGTGTGAGCTTGGGCAATCACTTCTGTCTCCAGGCCTTGGTTTCCTTCTTTGTTTACAGAGGGCATGGGACAAGATGACCTCCACGGTCTGTAGCCCCTTGGGAGAAGTGCCTCCATTGCCAATTTAAAGATGAAGGAACTTAGTCTGCCAAAAGGTGTCAGGGACTTGCCTGAGGTCACACAGCTCAGCTCAGATATGTCAGAGCCAGGACCCAAGTCTTCTGACCTCAAGATCATTTCTTCTGTCAGACTGCAAGGGTGTCCTCATTTCTGGCACTTAGTACATGAGTGACGTTGGGGAAAGAGGCCAGTTTCTGAGCAGAACACACATTCTGGCTTTGGGGGGAGGGTAGCAATGTTACAGCAACCTGATAAGCACCATCTTCCTACCCTTTGGGTTTGGTCGTGATGTCTGACAGGCCAGACGCACTGGACAGCACCGATTCCTTGGCTGTGAGTGAGGTGGGCTTCCTGCTAGCTCCCTGTTGCTGGACTTTAGAAGTGACTTTGACCTTCCTGTGTATTCAGGTGGCCATCAAGCAGATGAACTTACAACAGCAGCCCAAGAAGGAGCTAATCATTAATGAGATCCTGGTCATGAGGGAAAACAAGAACCCCAACATAGTGAACTACCTGGACAGGTATGTTGTTTCAGGTGTGGTCAGTTTGGAGGCTGAGGGCGAGCTATTCTACAGAATCACAGAGTTGGAATATACCTGGGGAAAGGAGGTTACTGCCTAACCTGTAACTGAATAGGAATCTTCCTTCTAGCATCTTCTACTTGTGGTCACCTTTGTGATGGTTCCCGTTTTTACAGTGTTTTAAGGTTTGAAGACTGTTTTCCTAACAACAGTAATAGCTGGTAGTTTTATTGCACTTTACAATTTGTAAAACGATTTACCTGTGTTGTTGTTTGGTAATTTTTCAGTTATGTCTGACTCTTCATGACCCTGCTTGGGGTTTTCTTAGCAAAGATCATTTCCTTCTCCAGCTCTTTTTACATATGAGGAAACTGAGGTAAGCAAGATGAAGTGACTTGCCCAAGGATCACAGAGCTAGTAAATGTCTGAGACTGGATTTGAACTCAGGTCTTCCTGACTTCAGGCCTGGTGCTCTATCTGCTCTTTACCTATGTTACATGTTTATATCTCATTTGATCTTCACAACAGTCCTGTGAAGTAGGTGCTGTTATTATTCCTATTTTACACATGAGGAAATTGTGTCTTAGAGAGGTTAAGTGACTTGGTCCAGTTAGTATCTCATGTAGGATTTGAAATTTGATCTTGACTCCAGGTCTAGTCTTCTATCTGTTATCCTGCCTGCAATAACCTTATAAGACAGGGGAAAAACAGAAGTTTTGTATGTATACTACATCTGATAGTATGCTACAGACCACCTGGGCAGAAGGAAGAATTAGATCAAAAACCTGGCATGGAGACATGAGATAGTCATGATGGGAGAACTCTAGTGATCCAGATAGCCGCTGGGTTTCTCTTTCTCTCTTCCAAAACCAGGACAGTTTTTTCCTACAGAAAGTGGAGGATTTGATAAGATGAGAAGAGCTGCCATTAGTGATCTGATTCTGACCAACAAAATGGGAATGCCTACTGATGTAGAGATGACAAGAACTTTGGCAAATAATGGGCATAGCCTGAGACACACATTAGATTTTGGAAAAGCAGATTTAAAAATATTTATCAAAAGGACAAGTAGTATCTGTTGGCCTAACATTTCACAGGAGAAATGGACCCAAGAAGGATGGGAAAATCTCTAGAATTGAGACAGCTGAATAGTGTAATGGATAGAGCACTGGGTTAAGAGTAAGGAAAACCTGAGTTCCAATCCTGACTCAGATTTCTAGCTATGTGACCCTTTGGACAAGTCATTCATCTTCTGTAAGATTTAGTCTCCTCATCTGTATAAAGAAGAAGTTGGATTCAGAGACCTCTAAGATTGTAATTCTAAATCTATAGATCTCATGATATTTTGAAGATTCAAGCAGAAATACTTCTCATGAAACAGAAAGTAGAGGAGCTTCCTAAAGAGGTTCCTATGGACTCAGATTTTTTAAAAGATACAGGGAAGATGGAAACCAGGCTAGAAAACTAAGGATGAATACAAAGTAGTAAGTGTCAGCAGTGCCAAAGCACAGAATGAGCTGAGACTTGTCTGATGAATGCTAAGGACATGAATATTTAAAAAAAATTAATTTAATGTTTTGGTGTTTTCCTAATTATATGTAAAAACAATTTTTATCATACTTTTAAAAAAATTTCATTTTTGAGTTCCAGATTCTCTCCCTTCCTCCTTCCCTCCCCCTTGACAGGGAGAGGCTTCTTTCCTAGCTCATCAGGCTGTGTAGGTAGAAGGGAATTTGGGGACCATGTGTTCCAACCTCCTCACTTTCCAATCATAATTGTAGCTAGCATTTAAAGGGGTATACTTATGAGGAGTGTTAGGCCCATTTCACATGAGGAATCTCAGGAATACTCAGGGAAAGGCCTTGCCCAAGGTCACAGATGAAGTCAGCAGAAGAGTGGAGAAATGGACCCAGCTCCTCTGGGTTCACTCTTATATGCAACTCTTATTTCATCTCTGTTTTTTCATTATCTTTGGTCTGAGAAAGGTGAAACAAAAGGAGCTGACAGAGAAAGTTGAAATTCAAGTAATGTAAGATAAAAGAGAGCACTTGGGCAGTGAGGTAGCAGTGAGCTAGTGCAGTGGATAGAATTGCCAGGCCTGGTATCAGGAAGACTTATCTTCTGAAGTTCCAATCTGGCCTCAGATACTTCCTAGCTGTGTGACCCTGGGCAAGTCACTTGACCCTCTTTGCCTTAGTTTCCTCTTCTGAGGAAATGGCAAACCACTCCAGTATCTCTGCCAAGAAAACCCCACATGGGGTCATGAGGAGTTGGACATGGCTGAAAAACTACTGAACAAAAAGAGAATACTTAGCTTCCATTGATGAGTTCAAATCATCAATCTGGGGGTAACATCCTCAAGGATTGAAAGAACTAGCGAAAACGATGGCTGAGCTAGTACCAGTGATCTTTGCAAGGTCGTGGAGAATAGGATAGGTTCTACTTATATAAGACTGGAGAAAGGAAAATTTGTCCCAATTTTCAAAAAAATGAAAGAATTTTGTATCTGTAAATTTTAGGACAGAGATCTGTACTTGTTTCTCTGCCAAAAATTCTAGAAGATATTATTAAAGAGCAGTGTGGAACAGCGGATAGGGAGGCTCACTTCACAGTCAGGAAGGCCTGAGTTTAAGTGCTATCACTGACTCATATGGGCTGTGTGACCCTGGGCAAGTCACTTGACCTCTTAGTTTTCTAGGCAAATTGCAATAGGTCTAAGATGTGGAGAAGTTGTCAGCTGTGTTAGTAGAAGCTCCTTTCCAGGAATTCCTTATACCAATGAAATCACATATATCATAAAAACAAATATTAAAGGGATGGTTAGTAGACGTCTAGAAAAGGAAGCAGTGATCCTAGAAAACAGGTTATGCCAGAGGATGAATCTCATTTCATTTTTAGATGGAGTTCCTAGATGGGCAGATCAGAGGAATGCTGTTAATAGTTTATTTCTAGAAGTCTCTTATGCTATCTTTGTAGATAGGATGGAGAGATGTATACTAGTTGATAGGATGTTTAGGTCAATTCAGAGTTGGTTGGATAGCTGGACCCACAGGAGACAGCCACTAATGGCTGGTTGTTAACCTGGAGAGAGATCTCTAATGGAATCCTCCATGCCTTAGCCCTATATAGTTCAACATTTTAATTTGCGATTTGAATGAGGCCATAGGAGGAAGGCTTGCCAGATGTGCAGGTGACACAAAGCTTGCAAGGATATCTTGCAAAGTCAGGTGGCAAAAAGATCTCACAGCCTAGCATGATGGGTCAAATAAAAAAACAGATGAAATTAAAGAGTTAAATTATATATTCTCTACTTAGTTTTTATTTTTATTTTTTGTTTATTTTATTTTTTTGGTGAGGCAGTTGGGATTAAGTGACTTGCCCAGAGTCACACAGCTATTGAGTGTTATGTGTGTGAGGCTGGATTTGAACTCAGGTCCTCCTGACTCCAGGGCTGGTGCTCTATCTGCTGCATCACCTAGCTGCTCCTCTACTTGGTTTTTTAAAACCACCTTAGTGAGAACAAGATGGGAGAGGTGGAGATACAGAGTAGCTTCTGTGAAAAATAAGTCTGAGGGATTTGATCGAGAACATCAGTGATGTGACTGATGGCGGCCAGTAAAAAGAGCCCAGACGAGTCCATTGGCAGCACATGTGGCAGAATCCCAAAGCAGTGATTAAAGAGTTAATAAGCCCCAGAAGAAAGGTTTCTGTGGGGTGCCCCAGTGCTTTGGCTCTGTGCTAGCCAGAGTTTTGTCAGTGACTTGGATGAATGCACATAGTCTGCTGATATGGGTTTGTGCATGATGGGGCAGGGTTCAGAAAAACCTAGACAAGTTGAAGTTAGGCGCCACATCAAATAAAAAGTGATCGTTTAATAGGGATAAGTATCATGTCCCACCCTAGGATCAAAGCGTCAGTCACACAGTTATGGAATGGACATGGCTGTACACAGATTTGTTCAGAAATGATCAGAGGGTTTTGGTCAGTGGGGACCCTCGTTGAGGCAGAATATCTCAGCTAGTGTAATTTTTGTCTGCATCAAGTGGGCACCTGATGTACAAAGTGATGGAACAGATCACCTCTCTGCCCTGGGCAGCCTATCTCTGCATTACTTTGTCTCATTCTGGGTGCCCCATGTTTGGAAGGATGCTGTAAATAAGCATGTGGGACTTTCCCCAGAGGAGAGTGGCCAGGACGGTGAGAGGCTTGTTAACAACTGTGCTACATCAAGATTATTTTTAAGAACTGGGAAATGTTAGAGAAGACCTGTGAGGAACATGATAGCGCTTATCAGATCAGTGACAGGTTGTCACGTGGAAGAAAGATTAGATGTTCTCCCTTGGATCCCACAGGGCAGAGCCAGGAGCAGTGGGGTGGAAAATGCAGAGAGGCATTTTTTCGTTCAAAGTGATAAAAAATTTGTAAGACCGACATTTGTCCAAAAGTGGACTGGACTGCTTCAAGAGGTCCTGGTGGGTTCCTTATTGCTAGAGTAATGACGGGGCTCAGTGGCTAGAGTGTTGATAGACTTGGAATCGGGAAGAGCTCAATTCGAATTCTGCCTCAAGCACTCACTAGCCGTGTGGCTGTCTGAGGCAGGATATGATCTTGGGTCTTCCTGACTCAAAATCTGGTATTCTATCTATCTACTAGGCTTAGGAATAAAAGTCTTAGAAGTAAGTGAAGTCTTAGGAGGGACAGACCTGATTGCTGTTTTCTAATAGCAGATTAGTTCTTTGTGCTGTCTGGAGGTAAAACCACTACCAGGGGGAAGAGATTTTTTGAAGGGGGAAGGTACAGATTTTAGCTCAGTATACAGAGGAACTTTCTAACCACTTGAGCTGGACGTATCACCGTGGAACAGGAGGCTTCAGGAGAGGCAGTGAGTTCCCTCTCACTGCAGATGTTTGAGCAGAAGAGAGGCTTCTTTCCCATGACTTGAATTTTAATGGACAGTGACCACAGTCTGATGACCCCCTGCTTGACGTACTTTGTTCCAGCCCCCTGGACCCTTCGTGTTCCCCTGATTTGGTCATTTCATCTCTCCCCTCCATCCTTTCACCCATGTGCACCCCACATCTGCCATGCCCTTCTTCCTCATTACTGTCTCTCAAGAGTCTTTAACTTGCCTTAAGTCTTGGTCCAGGTGAAGCCTCCCCTAGTTCCCTCAGTTAATTGTATTCTTTCTTCCCTCAAATCACCTTAATTTGCACTAACACCTTTGGCACACCCCGCCTATTGAACTCTGGGCTTCCTGCATCAGGTTCAACTTCAGTGATTTCTAGGTTTGGGGTTTCTGAGTCCGTGAAACCTTGGGTTCTACTTTTAGTCTGAGCCTGGATAGAGCCACCTTGGTTCCATGTATCCCTTCCACCCAGTCTACCCTCTCTGAAAAGTGCCATCTCTCCCTGTATGGGAATTGGCTTCATTACTCAGGTAGGGGAACAGGCACATGCCATGGCTTCCTGTTGGGGATAAGGATCTGCCAAGTCCAAAGTGCCAGGTTGAGGAGGGTCCCCATGTGAGCCACCTTGTAGCTTCCCTAGCTAAGCCTGCCCGTCTTCCCCAGGCTCTCTTTGTGATGCCACGGTGCTACTTTTGGTGTGGGAAGGCTCTTGGGAGGAGGAGGAGAGTAGCTGATGGCAGCTCCAGAGGGCTGTTTGGGGACATAAGGAAGGAGACAGAGTGGTGGTGGATATGGCAAGAGAGTGGCAGGAAGCACCGAAATACTGGAGCCAGAATTCTAAAGTCTCTTCCAACTCTAAAAACATGATCTTATGACTTCTTCATTCATACACATATGAAGTGGATACAATGCTGTGTAATAAGCATTGATGAAAATGATAATATTCTCTGTATGTGAAGAATGGGCACCACTGACCTTTCTTTGGGGTTTTTGTCCCTAAAAGGACTGTGCTTGGGGCATGGTGGATATTGGGTAGCCTAACAGAGTGAGGAGGGTAGGATGTTTGAGGTGGGACCTTATTCATGTCCTATCTGTTCTGGGTGAGCATTAAGAGATTGTAAGACCATTGAATCACCTTCCACATATTTCATATATGTCTTGTATGTTCCCACTTAATTACATACTGTCTCCCCCGTTTGACTGTGAGCTCCCTGAGAGCAGGGGCCATATTTTTGCTTTTCTCTGTATCCCCAGACCTTAGCATAGTTCCTGGCATATAATGAGTGCTTAATATAAACGCTTATTGACTGATTGTTGCTATCATAGACCCTGGTTTCTGAAACACTTTAACATTTACTATGCTGTTTCCTCATACTTCTATAAAGGTAGATAGCGCAAAGGTAGTCATCCCCATTTTACTGACTATGGGACTCAGACTCAGTGAGATTAAGTGAGTTGCCCATACCTACATAATTAATAAGTGGCAAGATCCTCTGACTCCAAAACCTACTCTTCTACCTACTCTCCAACAGGCCAGGTAATAAGTACAAAAATACTTTGAAAAGAATAAAGCATTCTTTATGGATGTACATATTTATTTATTTATAGCAGACCAGCAGCATTCTGCCATCCTCCTCCATCCACCACACACACATTCCCTAGTCAGGAAGCTGCTGAAGAGCTGGCCCAGGTGGTGTGTTGGTGAATCATTCCTCCTGTCCAGTCATCTGTCACGTTTCTTTGTGCAGCGGCTCGGCTCCAATATTCTATCCCTGTCCTAGATGCCCCAAGGCAGGCTCGGTCGCTAATCCTTTGTCTTTTTTGAATGGATCTTTTTAGCAAGACTTGAATCATCCAGAACATACAGGATACTGCCCATGAAGGGTTCCACAGGAGGTCATAGATCATTGGCATCCTAGAACTTTGGCATCTTAAAATGCTGGAATCATAGAATCTTGGCGTCTTAGAATACAGAATCACACATTCTTGAAATTGGGAGGGTCTTTAAAGGGCCTCCCAATTCTTTGATTTGATCTTTCTTATAATGGGAGAGGGGGCAACTAGGCCCTATACTGGGTTAAGAGCTTGTGTCCTAGGCTAATACCATTGCCACCCAGGGTTTGGGGAGGTGGAAATAATTCCCATTTCTATTGTACTTTAAGAACCAGAAGTCTGTGTCCTCACAACACCATAAGGTAAATAGTATAAAGGTGGTTCAGTGGTTTGGATGCTGGACCTGGAGTCAGGAAGAATCATCTTCCTGAGTTCAAATCTGGCCTCAGATACTTACTGGCTATGTGACCCTGGACAAGTCACTTAACCCTGTCTGCCTCAGTTTCCTCATCTGTAAAATGAGCTGGAGAAGGAAAAGGCAAACCACTCCAGTATCTTTGCCAAAAACAAACCGAACCAAACCAAAAACCCAAATGGGGTCACAAAGAGTTGAACATGCCATGACTGAAAACAACTTAACAACAAATAATGGAAGAGTGGGGGAGGGTGGTTGTTTATCCCACATCCAGTTAAGGTTGATCAAGGTACAAGAAGAGCATAGAGCCCTTTTGTCTGTCATATTCTATGGGTGTTTGTGAGGCCTTAATAATAATGATGGGCCAGCCCCAGGTCTTCATTAAAGCTCAGGGCCCAGTCAGTTACTTGCCTGTTTGAATGGCTTATACCTGAAGAAACCACCACAGGAGAAATGGAAGGACCTCTGGGTGGTCACGTAGCAGGGTAGTGGGAAGCTAAGGTTTCTAACCTGGGTCAGCCCCATGGGTTCTCCGTGAAGATAAGTCTAAATGTCAGGCTTTGGGCCGTGGAAGGAAGTCTTGCTGGCTTGTTTTTTTTTTCCCCTGGGTTCCTGTGCCTTGAGGGTGCACTCCTTACTTTTCAGCTTCAGGAAAAGCCGTGGCTCACAGATTTTTTTTACTTTTTCATTGTTTCTCTCTCTGGCTTCCTGCCTTTGCAGTTACCTAGTGGGAGATGAGCTGTGGGTCGTCATGGAATACTTGGCTGGTGGCTCGTTAACAGACGTTGTGACTGAAACCTGCATGGATGAAGGACAGATAGCAGCTGTGTGCCGGGAGGTAAGGTTGGCCTAAGAAACCCACTTCCCAGCTTGGGCCCCTTCACCTGGAGGGACCTCAGGCCTAGAACTGCCCCACTGGACACTATGAGAAGCAAGAGGAGTCTGCACTGGCAAAGTCTTAGAATATTGCAATGATAGAATTTTCGATTTCATGGGTTTCTTAGGATTAGCGCCACAGAACCTCAGAATCACAGAATGTGGTGTGTTAACAGGTTTCTCTTCTCTCCCTCTAGTGTCTTCAGGCCTTGGAGTTTCTGCATTCCAGCCAGGTCATTCACAGGGACATTAAGAGTGACAATATCCTGCTTGGGATGGATGGTTCTGTCAAGCTAAGTATGTCGATGGGCCGGGCAGCGATCACCCCTTTGTTAATTGGGCAGCTCTGGGTCCTGGCTGTAGGTGAGGTCTGTGCTGCAGAAGACTAAGTCATATCAGGGACAGGCCCTTGGATAGCAGGAGGAGCGACAAGGTCAGCCTTCTCAATCACCCTTCTGGGAGAGTGAGTTTAATTTGGCAGTGCAAGTATGGGGGTGTGTGGGGTGGCAGGCACCGGAGATAAACATGGCCTGTTTCACAGTTTGGCTCTGTAGGATGGCCCCTCTCACAACTGGGACCTGACCATGTGACATTGGGTGACTCGCTGTCCCTCATTAGTGAGGGGGCTCGCCAAAGCCCCTTTGGTCTCTCTGGGTGTCCTCTGTACAATGAGAAGGTTGGACCAGATGGACTATGAAGGTTCCTTTCATCTCTTTGGCCTTGTCCATGACTGTGACTGCGTCTTCTGTGACCCACCCCCATCCCCATAGTTCTGAGTGCAGGGCTTTGGGCACATGGTGCGTGCTCAGTGGGGTCAGGGATCCTCAAAATGGGAAGGGATTGTCTAGTACAGAGACAGATTAAAATGTTTAACAAAAACAGCAAAAATATAGTACAACACAGATAATGCTAATTTGTGGTCTCCTAAGTCAGTATGCCTCCCACAGGGACCCTTTACTATTTGAATTTGACACCACTGGTCTAATACAACTTCTACCTGAATAACAATCCCCTCCTTAATAATGACAATAAGTAATGCCCATGGTACAGTGGAAAGATCACTGGCTCTGTAAGTCAGAGGACCTGAGTTCAAATTCTGTGACCTTGGGCAAGTCACTCTGCATCTCAGTTTCCTTATCTGCAAAATGAAGGGTTTGGACTAAATGGCCTCTTTCCAGCTCTATGTCTCTGATCCTATGTACTTTACACACATTATTTCATTTTATTCTTTAGCAACACTGAAATTAATACTGCAGGCATTAGTAACACCATCTGTTGTTGTAGTTCAGTCATTTCAGTTGTGTCTGACTCTTTGCGACCTCATCTGGGGTTTTCTTGGTAAGGATATTGGAAGGGTTTGTCATTTCCTTCTTCAGCTCATTTTACAGATGAGGAAACTGAGGCAAATAGGGTTAAATGACTTGCCCAGGGTCACATAGACAGTAAGGGTCTGAGGCCAGATTGGAACTCAGGAAAAGGAGTCTTCCTGATTCCAGGCCCAGCAATTCTATGTATTGCACTACCTAGCTGCCCATTTTAAGATGAAGAAATAGAGGTCGAGAGGTTAAGCGATATGCCCAGATAGTTAATGTCAGAGGCGAGCTGCAAATACATCTCTCCTAATTCCCTACGCAATGACACATCATATCTCTGACAAGTAATCATCAAATTTCCTCTTGCAGAACTCTAGTGATGGGGAACTCACTACCTTCCAAAGCAGCTCGTTTGCCTTTTGAATAGCTCCAATTATTAGGAGCTGGTAGACCTTTTACTTATTATTTCTTGACTTATTCTCTGAGCTCAGCAAGACAAATGCAATTCCTCTTTCACATGACAGCCCCTTAGGTGTCTGGAGTCAGCAATGGTGACCATCCCAGGTCTTCTGTCTTCCAGGTTAAACATTCCCAGCTTCTTCAGCTTGTCTTCATATGGTATGATCTCTAGCCCCCTTTCCATCTTCATCTCTCTTCTTTGGATACACTCTGACTTGTCACTGGAATTCTGAATGATGTATTCCCAGAACTGAGCACAGTATTCCAGACGTCTGACCATGACAACAGAGAGGAACTGTTGCCTCCATTATTGAGGGCAGCTAGGTGACATAGGGAATAAGTCCTAGACTTTGAGTCTGGAAGACCGAGTTCAAATCCTTTTTCAGACGCCTACTAGCTGTGTGATCCTGGGCAAGTCATTTAACTGCTCTCAGACTCAGTTTCCTCATCTGGCAAATGGGAATAATAATAGCACCCACCTCAAGAGGTTATTGTGGCCCTCAAATACAATACTAAAGTGTTACATGGACAGCTAGGTGGTGCCATAGTGATATACCTGGAGTCAGGAAAACTTATGTTCATGAGTTCAAATCTGGCCTCAGATACTTTCTAGCTGTGTGACCCTGGGCAAGTCACTTGACCTTGTTTGCCTCAGTTTCCTCATCTGTCAAATGAGCTGGAGAAGGAAATGACAAACCACTCCAGTATCTCTGACAAGAAAACTCCAAATGAGGGCACAGAGTTGGACATGACTAAAAAATGGCTGAAAAAGTGTTGTGTAAATGCTAGTTATTGTTATTATTATTCTATACTCTGTTCTATTAATGTAGCCTGAGGTTGTGTTAGCTTTTTCGGCTACCACATCACACTGTTGGTTAATCTTGACCTTGCAGCCTACTATGAAACCTCTAAAGGCTCACGGAATGAAAGCCCTACATGTTAATTGAATAAACGAACATTCAAATAAGACTCCCTTTCTGTTCTCCTTTCCCTCTCCAGCCGACTTTGGTTTCTGTGCTCAGATCACCCCCAGAACAGAGCAAGCGAAGCACCATGGTTGGGACCCCATACTGGATGGCCCCGGAGGTTGTGACTCGGAAAGCCTATGGGCCGAAGGTGGACATCTGGTCCCTGGGCATCATGGCCATAGAGATGATTGAGGGGGAGCCCCCCTACCTCAATGAGAACCCTTTGCGGGTGCGTGTCTCTGGGCTTCTTCTGTTAGCCAACCTGTGGATGTCTGAGGGGTTAGGCTGTTGATTACACCCCCTACTTGAACCTCCTCCATGCCCAGTGCTGTGAATGGCAACCTGATCAATCCATTGATTGATTACAGTCCATCTGTAGTGCTCCAGGGTTTGGGGGGGGTGGGGGGAGAGAGAACACATACATATGTATACACACAAATATATGTATTTTTACATGTAATATCACCCTAGAACAGAACAGGCAAAGCATCATGGTTGGGATCCCATGCTGAATGTACCTGGGTGGTGCATATGCATATATGTGCATGTGTATATATGAATAGAGTTGTATGTTCATGTACATAAGCAAACATATGTACACGTACAAATGTATATATACCGTGTATATATCATTTGTTTCATGGATTGTCTTTGCTAAAGAATCAGTCACCCGCACTTAGCTAGGCCAGCTCTCAGAAAACAGGCACAGTCTGTGGTCAGCACCGTACTCAAAGCCTTTCCAGTTGGGTAGAACCCAAGGTCGCCTCCAGCAATCTGCCATTGTTGTTGTTCAGTTGTGTTCAACTCTTCATGACCCCATTTGAGGTTTTCTTGGCAGAGATACTGGAATGCTTTGCCATTTCGGTCTCCAGTTCATTTTACAGATGAGGAAACAGTTAAGTGACTTGCCCAGGGTCACATAGCTAGTAAGTGTGTGAGGCCAGATTTGAACTAAGGTCTTCCTGACTCCAGGCCCGGTGCTGTATCCACTGTACCACCTAGCTGCCCCAACAATCTGTTAAGCAGTCAACCAATATTTGTGACACCTCTTATGTGCCAGGCGCTATACTAAACGAAGGGGTTACAAGGACAGAAGTGGAGGTGTTTTGGCCCTCCAAGCATTGGAGCTCTCCCCATGCCTCAATGGGACATTGGTGAGGCAGCGTAGAAGGGCCCCAGCCTGCTCACTCACATCCCCACATGGGGTTTATAGGAGCACACGGAAAACTAGGCCAGTCATTCTGGCTCTCCTGAGCCCTGGGAGTCGTCGGGGCCATGCCATGTGAGCCTTAGCATGCTGCAGAGGTGGGCGAGGTGATTGTTCTTAGTATCTTGAGCTGGGAGGAACGCTGAAGCCCAGAGCAGGAAGACCAGAGTTCAAGTCCTCACGCTGACATTTATTAGCAAGTTATTTTTGGTCTTTCATCTCAAATGGGAAGAGTCATGTTTGTATTGCTTCCCTCACCAGGTGATATGATAATAAGCCTTAAAGGGCTATAGAAATGGGAGTTTTATATATAGGGTGTCCCAAGACTCTTTGTGTAGTTTTAAGCTGTTGAAACTTGAAACTGTACTTTGGGACACCTGGGGTATGTATGTGTGTATGTGTGTGTGTCTTCATGTGTATATGGATGTATGTATAGGACAGTGTGGGTGTATATATACACATGTGTATTTGTCTACACACACATACACATATGTAACCCTAACACACTACAGAAATATACACTCATATTTTTCTACTGGTATCTGGGTCCTGGTAGGCTGAAGGGAAAGTTCAGTCATGACCTTGTCTAGTAGAGGGATTGAGACACATTGTGTCTCTGGACATGTAGAGTATACCAAATGATGACCTCCAGAGGATTGTCTCTCTTTGTATTGACAGGCCCTATACCTCATTGCTACTAATGGTACTCCTGAGCTTCAGAATCCAGAGAAGCTGTCCGCCATCTTCCGGGATTTCCTGAACTGCTGTCTTGAGATGGATGTGGAGAAGAGAGGGTCAGCCAAAGAGCTGTTACAGGTAACAGCTGCCCTTGCGCACAGGCATCTGGATTGGTAGGGCTCTGGGGTCCTGGCTCCCGTGTCCTTATCCCAGCTCCTTCTGTCCACATAGCCCAGAAGGGGCACTCATTCATTCAGCAAGCACTTAAGTGTTTACAAAATGCAGGGCACTGTGCAAGGTGATGGGAGAGATGGGAATTTTATAAAAGAGATGGTCCCTACCCTCTCGGAGCTTCTAATCTAGCAGGGAGATAAGACATATACACAGATCATTATAATACATGGGACAAGTGCTTCAGAGAGAGGGAGAAAAAGCGTTCCATGGGGAGGAAAATTGTCAGCAGTCAGGTTTGAGGGGTTTGGGGACATCAAGGAAGAGGTGTGGTCTTGTCCCGGACAGATGTGTCAGACTTGTGGCCCACGGCACTCCTGAGTGCAGCGGATCAGATTAAAATGTGATTGGGAAATGTTTAACAAGATAAATAAAAATACAGCACAACATAGATCATGTTGATTTGTGGTTCTCTAAGTCACTATGTGGCTCATGGGGACCTGTTTCTATTTGAATCTGACATTAGTGGTCTGGTGTCTTTAAAGAACCCCGAATTTGGGGCAGGAAAACTTTACCCCTGTCACTGAATGTGTGACGCTGGTTTCCCCTTCTGTAAAATGAGAGGATTTGAAGAAATGACTTCTGAGGTCCCTTCCATTTGTAGATCTGTGGTTCTGTGCTGTCTTAGGTTCCTTTCCCATTTTAAATCTGATAGTTCTGTAGCCTTTGAGCTGGGCTTTAAAGGGTGGGTAGAAGCCACAAACATTTCCTAACCTTCTATGTCATGTGCTAAGAAACAGAGAATATCCAGTGATGAATGAGGTCCAGTGCCTCTCTACCCTGATGGAATTCACGGTCTAGGAGGGCAGATAAAAGATCACTTCAGCCTTGGAGGAAAAGGGAGGGCTTCATGGCAGAGATGGCCTTAGAATTGGGCCTTGAAGGTAGGAATCAGATAAAGCTGACAGTGAAACCAAAAGCAAGAAGAGGGGAAAATCTTAAGAATTCTTTGGTGTACAGTGTGTGTACCCATTTGCCTGGAAGGTAGCTTGAGGTAGGATTAGAAATCTTGGTTGTGAAAGGCTTTACAGTTTAGTCTAAGGCCTATAGGCTTTAACCTGTATGTGTGAGGGGCCACTGAAGCTTTAGGAGCTGGGGAGTGATGTCATCTGAGTAGGAATTAAGGAGCTATTTTTGATAGCCTCAGCAGAGGGTGTATGTGATAGGAAGACCTGGTTTCAAACCCTGCTTCAGATACTTGGTAAGCTGTGTGACCCTGGACAAGTCTCATCGCTTCTCCCAGCCTCAGTTTTCTCATCTGCAAAATGGATGCAAAATAGCAATTCACAAGGTTGTTGTGAGCATCAAATGGCATAGTATGTAACATGTTTTACAAACCTTAAGAGGCTATGTATAAATGCTTGCTATATTAGATAGATGAGGGAAAAACATTCATTCAACAAACAATTATTAAGTGACTGCTGGGTACGTGGAGAATGGCAGAGTGGGGAGCACGCTGGATTTGAAGTCAGCAGGCTAGGGTTTAAATCCTGGCTCTGCCGTTTATAACCTTTGTGACAAGTCACTTAACCTCTGTTGGTCTCAGTTTCCTTGTCTATAAAATGGGGGAATTGGACTAGATGTCTTTTTTAAGGTCCCTTCCAACTGTAGATGCTATCAGCTGAGGTACTGGGCTAGGCACTGAGGGGGAGAAATTGTAGTAGTTCATATATGGATTCAAGAGATATATGAGTCACACACACCCAGGGAACTCACCTAACTACAATTTGTTGGCATCATACCATATAGAAAACAGTAGGGCACACATGCCAGCCCGTGACAGAGCCACTGTGGGTCCCATCTGTTCGGATTACAGGACATTCCTTGGCACAAGTGGGATGTAACCAGGGACTAACCGCCTTTGCCAAGACTAGCGACTCATCCCAAGTGGCTCCCTGTCCCTCCTGGGGATACATTCCTTTATAGCCCAGGGTGATAAAGAAGCTGCTCTGATAGCAATCAGCAGTGGTAAGAAAGACCCATGCACCCATAATTATACTACTTAGGAGTAAGGCGGATAAGAATGGACACCTGGGTTGGTTTAAACAAACAAACAGATTAAAAAAATGAACAGCTGAGCAAATAAATAAGTAAACGGATGGATGGATGAATAAGTCAATAAATGAATGAATGAATTGATGCTTAGTGGGTTCATCAGCCACTGTGGTCATATCTGTGAATGTGTGCCGCCATGCCTCCAGAAATAGGAAAATATTATTAAGTGACTCCTGGGTACACAGCAAAAGGAAGAACACTGGGTTTGGAGTCAGCAGACTTGGGTTCAAATTCTGACTCTTCCATTTATTGCCTTTGTGACCCAGGACAAGTTACCACCCAGCGAGGGATGGGTTTAGGGGAAAAGATGATTAAGTTCTGTTTTGGACACTTTGAGTGTGAGATGCTTATGGGAGGCACATGCAGGTGGTGGTGTCCAGCCTTGTGATTTCATCAGTGTGGGGACTCCCTCCCCTCATGTCCAAGACCCAGAGACCACTTGGCTGTGGTCTCACAACTTGTATGTGTCAGAGGCAGGCCGAAACCAGGGCATCTAGTTGGAAGTGAGAAAAGTGTAGTTAATGAATTTGACAAGAATGAGAAAAATTGAAGGTGACTCTGCATCTATACACATGACGTGGTGCTGTTCCTTCATGGAAGTCAGAGGATGTGAGGGGAGAGGAGAGAGCATCGTTTTAGTGACTGATGAGGATGGGGGTGTGGTGGGCGAAGAAAGAAGAGATGGGATCAGGCTACTGGGCCACAATCTCATCTTTAAAATGTAGCCAGGACCTTCGATGGTGGAGTCGTCTCTGTGGTCTTCCTTCCACAGGAACTGCGTCTCGCCTGCTGGTCACTTTTAAGAGTCCAGAAGTCGTCCAAAGGTTTTATGACATGTTTATGTCCATGCCATAGAGTGATAGAACCTCTAATCCAGAAGGGACTTCACAGATCATCAGTCCAGTGATGGGGAGCTCATTACCTTATAAGGCAGCAGCAGCAGCCCATTGCATTGTAGGACAGATATGGTTATTAGGAAGTTTTCTCATATTGAACTGAAATCTGCCTCTTGAAAAGTAGCATGGTGTAGTTGCTTGTTGGATTCATTGAATGACAGAATTTTAGAGTTGAAAAGAACTTTGGTCGCCATAGATGAAAAGAATTCTCCTTATAACATACCTGACGAGTCAGGAAGACCTGGGTTCAAATCCTGCCTCTAATACGTACAAACTGTGTGACCCTGGACGAGTCACTTACCTTCTGTCTGCCGCATTCCTACAGCTTTAAAATGGATATTACAGTACCTACCTCACAGGGTTATTCTGAGGCTAGATGGCACAATGGGTAGAGCAATGAATTTGGTGTTAAGAAGACCCAAGTTTAGATTCTGCCTTAGACGTTTGCTTAGCTGTGTGGCCCTAAGCCTCTTAGTGTTTCTCACCCTCAGTCTTCTCATCTGTATAATGGGGATAATAATAGCACCTACCTCACAGGGTTGTAAGGATTAAATGAGATAGCATGTGTATGGTGCTTATAAACCTTAAAATACTATATAAATACTAGCTGTTATGTTATTAGATAAAAATGTGTATTCTGTCATATTAAAATGCTTTGCAAACACTAAAGCACTCTATAAAGCCAGCTGTTAATATTTTTATCATATATTGTTCGTAGTTCTACTTCCTGAGGCCTAGTGGAACAAGTTTGTTCTCTTTTTGCCATGACAGCTTAAATTTAGAAGACTCCACATCCCAAGGTGTTAAGATTATAATTGGCTTCTGCTGTATGCTGCAAATGTCACCACTTTTTCTGAACTCTCCCCGGAAAGAGAAACCACACCTAGAAACAGTCCAACGCGGGCACCTCAGGAGAAGAACCATATTTAGTTGTTAAGGGGGCTGGCAAGGGAAGGCAGGGGAGCTTTTGCAAGGGTATTGCCGATTCTTGGCTATGGTGGTTCTAACAGCACCTGGAGGGAAAAGGTTATGTCAAATGAGATCACACAAAGCCCTTTGTAAGCCTTAAATGATGCCTGTATGCACTAGCTGTGGAGGTTGACACGCTCACAGTTGTTGTTATTATTGACGTGCTAGCCATTGTCATTGGCATGTTAGCAATTATTGTGGACGTGCTAGCTATCATCAACGTGCTGCTGACATGCTAGCAAATGATGTTATTGTTGACATGCTAGCTATTGTTGACATGCTAGCTATCGTCAACACGTTAACTGTTGTGTTTAACATGCTAGCTGTTGTGGTTGACATGCTAGTGATTGTTGTTGACATGCTAGCTATTATTATCATTATTGTTATTATCATTTCTAAGTCATTTTGGCCACGTGGAGTCCTAGCATCTCAGAGCTGGATGGGAGCACAGAAGTTGTCTACGCTAGCCCTTTCTTGAGGTCCCCTTGAGAAGTAGCTGCCATCCCTCCTCAGCCTGAGTGCCTCTGGTGACCAGAAACTTTACTTCTTCCCCATTCTTTTGTTGAGTACTTCATGCTATTAGAGGTTTCCTCTTCCTGTGTTCATCTAAAAGCTCTCCCTGTAACTTCCTCTTGTTGTCCCTAGTTCTGAGGATCCCCGCTTGTGCTCCCCAGTAGAGTGGAATTATTCCTTCTTCCTTATTATGGTCCTCCATGTGTTTGAAGACAGAAGTTATATTCCCCCTACACCTTCCTTTCTCCAGTCTAAACTGATTCCTATTTAATGTATGCCCTCTTATGATATAGTTACAGTAGTGTGTCAAACTCTAATCCATAGGGAAATATCCCTGCGGGCCCTGGAGTGACTTAGTTTTAAAATGTAAAGGTATCTATGTTTTAGTGTATTTTCACTTATTTTGTGCAGTGGTTGGTTTCCAATCATATTTTAATCTGGTCCTAATTGCACCTGGGAGTGTTGTGGGCTGCATGTGGTGTGCTTGACACCTCTAGTTCAGAGTTCCCTTGCTATCCCAGCACCTTCCTCTGAATGCACTCAAGCTTGTTGGTTTTTTGAGTTGTTTTCAGTAGTGTCCAACTCTTTGTGATCCCATTTGGGGTTTTCTTGGCAAACTTTCCTTCTCCAGCTCATTTTACAGATGAGGAAACTGAGGCAAACAGGGTTAAATGACTTGCCTAGGGTCACACAGCTAGTAAGTGTCTGAAGGCGGATTTGAACTCAGGTCCTCCTGACTCTAGGGCTGGCATCCTATCCACTGTGCCACCTAGCTGTCCTAAGCTTGTTAATACTTCTTTGAAAGTGAGTCTGCCATAACTGGGCACAATAACAAAAGCCTGTAGTTATTGAGCACTTACTGTATGCAGAGCTCAATGCTGGATACTAGGAGAGATGCAATGTTACGTAAGGTATAATAGTGATAGGGGTCTGTCCAGACAGCCTTGCTCATTGTCATCCCCTAATAATTTAATAGGGATGCTTAAATGCCCCTAGTTAGTATATTAGAACTTAGGTGGGCCTGATGGAAATAACGTTTGAAGAGACAGTTTGGACTCCTGAAAGGCGTCTTCAGAATTATAGAGGCAAGATGCAGTAGATAGGGGACTGAGGCTGGAGTCATGGGATCCTACATTTAGAGCTAGAAGCAACCTTAGAATTCATTGAACCCAACTCTCTCCTTTTACAGTTGAGGAAACTGAGGCCCAGACAGGTTCAGTGACTTACTTAGAGATCAGGCAGAATCGGGATTTGAACTGAGGTCCCTGGCCTCCAATCCAGTTCTTTCCACTTCTACACACTGTTTCCTCATCTGTAATACCAACGGTATCCTTAATGTCAAGTCAAGGAGCCTGTGTTCCATGCGTGCTGCATGCCAGGTGCTCTGAATAAGAGGCAGAGGAGGCTTTTCCCACACTCACTTTTTCTTTGTTCTTTTCTTTGATTCCTCTAGCATCAGTTCTTGAAACTCGCCAAGCCCCTCTCCAGCCTCACACCCCTGATTGCTGCTGCAAAGGAGGCCACCAAAAATAACCATTAGAACCCCCAACCCTCCCCAGCATCCACCTGCCAAGCCTGCTGTGAAACATTCCCACGGAGACCTTCCATCCCCGGTGCGCTCCTGGTCCTCACCTTGTTGTTGTCGTCCTCCTCTCCCCGCCTAGAGCTCTTGAGACTGGGAACCTTGGGTAAAGGTCGGCAGAAATAGCTTTGGTCCAATGTCAGCAAGAGATCTGGGATGGAGATAGCAATCCATCCACTGCTACTCTTGAGCCAAGAGCCTGCCCTCTCTGCCATGGGCCTGGAGGCAAAGATTGTGTATGGAAGGTCCGACATCTTCAGGGAGAACCGGTGAACCCGATTTCCACATAGCAAAATATTTTCTTTCTCTCCCTATCTTTTACTGCCACCCCTAAAGAAAACAGAACCATTGGGTGCCCTGATTCCATGACAGCCCATCTCTCTCAGTGGTGAAGGCTTCCATAATTCTTACTTTCCTAATCCCAAGCCACATTTACCAACCTTATTGTAACTCGAAGACTGGAACAAACTGGAGGAATGGTGAGCAGCTTTAACCAAAAGGGGATAGGAGATGGCTTTGCTTCGGGGAGCCTGACTTGGGCCTCTCTGGCCCATTGGCGGGTGAGAGCTGGACTCTTCAGTGTTTGTGCGCTGCTTATGACCATTGGGAGGACTTGGCCCAATAAAGGTCCCTGTGCTTTTTTTGTGAACCAGCCTTGCCTAATGTAACAGTTCTCAATTTTGCTCCTGTACCAATCCCCTTCTCCCCCGAAGCTTGCTCCCTCTCAGCATTATTTTCTACATGTTTCGTGCCACTGAGAAGTTTCCAAGGACACGTGTTGGGCGGGAGAAAGCTGGGGGCAGGGAAATTTGTCGAGCCACTTTTTTCTTCTTTTAGGGTGGTTATGCCTCTGCCAACTTACCATGGATCATTTTTAGAGAGAACTCAACTTGATTTCAGCCTAGAATTTTTAGCTGGACGATGAGGTTGGCTCTTCAAGGAGATGAGCCAAAGGGGAGAATTCAAGTGTCGCCGGATCTGGGGCAGGCTTGGTTACGCGGAGGACTGGATAAACTTGGCTTTTACAGTACAAGAAGAATAGCGTGAGAGGATGCCTTTGGCAGCTATGAAGGAGATGCTGTCCCATGAGATGCATGGCCTGGCTGTTGGCTTTCCATGTGCAGTTGGAATGGTTGGCTCACATCTACCCCACCCATAGTCTGTTCTCCCAACCTCGACAGGACCTGGGCTGGCATTGTTAGCCGTGGCCTCCCATCAGGCCCTTTGGCCACAGAGTCCTACTCCAAAGGCGTCCCAGACTCCGTAGCACAAGTTTCTATTTCCTTCAATAAAAGGAGATGAAAATACTATATGTGCGTTATCTTTCTTTATATGAAAGCTTCTGGGGTCAAGAAGGAGGTAGCATGTCCTACCTGGGAGAACTCAATTCTGGTAGATGACAGGTTGTGGGTATTCCTCAGCATCTCTCCCTTGACTAAGTAAAGCACCCCAGGGGTTTGGAGCCTGAGCACCAGGGTTTGAATGTTGCCTCTGTGGCCCACTGCCTGTCTGTGGGACCTTGACCAAGGCTCTAAACTTCAGTTCCCCTGCTGGTCAAGAGAAAGGATTGGACGGGGTGAACTGCGAGGGTCCTTTTAACTCTAAATCTGTGAATTTTGAGTGTGCTATATAATTCATCCTCATTCTCCATTTACATTGGTGAGTATCGAGAGTCTCTATGCAGGTGTATGTGTATCCACACACACGCGTGCGTGCACACGCACACACGCACATGATGCACTGAAAATATTACTGGAATATGGAGAATTTGGGAGCAATTGGATGGCTCAGTGGATAAAATGCTGGTCTTGGAATCAGGAAGACCTGAGTTCAAATTCAGCCTCAGGCACTTAGCTGTTTGACCTGGGGCAAGTCATTAACCTCCATTTGCCTAGGAGGCAGCTAGGTGGCTCAGTGGATGGAGCACTGGGCCTAGAGTCAGAACATACCTGAGTTCAAATCTGGCCTCAGACTTTTACTAGCTGTATGACCTTGGGCAAGTCACTTAACTTCTGTTTGCCTTACTCTACTGGAGAAGGAACCTCTTCTTTTGCAAAGAAAACCCCATGGACAGGGTCATGAGGAGTCAGACACAACTGAACAACAACATGGAGGAGCTGGATTTGTATCCTGGCTCTGCTGTTTGTTACCTATGTGGCCCTGAGGAAATCACCGAACCTCTCTGGGCCTCAGTTTCCACATCTGTAAAATGGGGGTGTTGGACTAGCTATCCTTTGAAAGTCTCTCCAAGCTCTAAATCTGTGATCCTATGATACAGTAGAAAGAAAGAACCCTAAGTCTGTGATTGGAAAAGCCAAATTGAAGCCAAATTGATGAGCTATGTGACCTACAGAAGTCATTTACTAGGTCCCAGTTTCCATATATGAGAGTTAATGATACTTGGACTACCTACCCTAAGATTATCGTGAGGAAGACTTGTTATAAACGGTAAAGATCCACGTAAGGGTATCACTTGTTTTTATTCTTATGGATAAAGTATAATTTTGTATCAAACTCATTGATTATTTCTTCACTGACCATTTAGACATTGTTGGGTTTGCCCAGACTCCTCCTGGCAAAGCTTTCAGAACAGGTAGCAGCCTGGCAATGAGAGCTGCTCCTTTGGATAGAGGCTTGGACCCTGCCCTCAGGGAGTTTACGGTCAAGTAGAGGAGCCAGGATAGTAATTTATTCAAGCAACACTCACTGAAGCCTAAAATTATAGAAGTCATGGGGGATCTCAAAAGTCATCTAGCTGGACCCTTAATCTGAGCAGACTGCCCTTCTACAGTGTCCCTGAGGAGGGGTCATTGGAGGCCTCTCATGACAAGGAAGGATAGAACAAAAATGATTAATAGGAAATTGAAACCCACACTAAGAACAGAGTTAAGTGAGCACCTAGTAGCCCCTTGATGAATTTCAGTTTCCTGGCATGGCTCAAACTCATCACCGGATACTAAAAGGATTTTTCAACGTGACTGCTAAGTGATTTTTGAAGAAGAGCAGCAAACAGGAGAGGAACCAGTGGCCTGGAGATGGGTGATGTCCCAATTTTCAGGAAGGAGAAAAAAGGGAATATTTTCAAATGGTGTAGGCTGGGGGAGCTTGATGTAGATTCTTGGTAAAATCCTATAGCCAGTTTTTAAAGTGATGGTGCATTTAGAGCCAACAAGCAGGAGGAGAGGAATTGCCAAGAGCCAGCCGACATGGGCTCATTAAGAACCAGAAAAACAGCAGAAAGCAGCTAGGTTAGACAATGGATCGAGTATTGCATATAAAATCAGAAGACAGTTCAAATCCAGCCTCAGACACTACTAGCTGGAGAAGCCACTAAACTGCTGAGTTTCCGCATCTGTAAAATGAGGATAACAATAACACCTACATCCTAAGGTGGTTGGGGGGCTCAGTGGAGATAACATGCGAAGTCCTTTGCAAACCTTACAAAGCTCTAGAAGTATTAGCTATGACAACATGGATATAATTATAATAGCCCACATTTATGTAGCATGTTAAGGTTTGCAAAGCACTTTACATATGTCATCTCATTTCATCTTCACAACAATTCTGAGGAGAGTGTTGTTATGATCCCTTAAGGCAGGATTTGATCATGGACACAGGTAGAGGTAATTCAGGATTGGGTGGGAAATGTTCCAATTTTCAAAATGGAGTTTGTTAATGATAGGCCAGTGAACTGGACTTTGATTCTCTGGAAGAATTCTAGAATGTTATCACGTAAAGGGATGGTTAATGAGCATCTAGAAAAGAAAAAAGCTTACAAAAAAGTTTTATCAAGAATAGTCATACCAGACTAAACCCTAGTTTCTTTTTGGCAGGTTAATGGAGTGGTAGATCAGGGGATGCTGCAGAGAAGAGGTGACCTAGATTTAAGAAAAGCATGTAATAAATTCTCATGATATTCCTGTGGAAAAGTAGGAGCCATGTGGGCCTCAGAGTGGTCATTGCCTTGGGAAGATGCCTCCAGTGGAGAGCCCTAAGGACCCATGGCTAACCTTGTGCAGCTTTGATGTCTTCATCAAGAACATGGATAAAGGCATTGATGGCATACTTACCAATGTGGAGGTGACGCAAAGCTGGAAGGGGTAGCCAACGCACTGGATGGTAGAGTTGGACAAGAACAAAAGGAAATCTCAAGTAGAACATTAGACTGAAGGAGAAAAATTTAATAGGGTGACTGTAAGGTCCTACACTTGGGTTCAGAAATCAACTTCATAAATACAATTACTTTAAAATGTGAAATTCATTATGAGCTCAGGCTGATTTGGCCTATGGGTCATGGTCTGCCAACTCTTGGACTAGTCTAATGGATTTGTGATGAGTAGAAAGAAAATGGGTTATACAGTTTAAATGCTTGGGCTTGAGTTCTGGCTCTGTTACTTCCTAGCTTTATAATAATACCTAACATTTATATAGCACTCACTGTGTCCTAGGCATTGTGCTAAGGGCTTTACAACAACAACGATAATAATAATAATAATATCATTTATATAATATGTCCCAGTTACTGTGCTAAGGGTTTTCTAATAATAATATAACATGATAATAATACATAATAAATAATATAACATATAATAATAACAGCAATAACTAACATTTATGTAGCACTTACTACATTCCAGACATTGTGCTAAGTGCTTTACAATTATCTCATTTGATCCTCACAACAACCCTAGGAGGTAGGTATTATTATTCCCATTTTACAGATGGGAAAACAGGCTAAGTGACTTTCCCAGAGTAACACAGCTAACAGGAGAGGTACCAGTGTCTGAAGCAGGATTTGAACTCAGGTCTTCCTGATTCCAGGCCCAGTGCTATACCCACTGAGGCAGGGCAGGTATTATCCCCATTTGTAGAGGAGGAAAACTGATACGCAGAGAGGCTGGAGGTTAGGAGGGATGCCTAAGGTCACAGGGTCAGAGGCAGGAATTGACTTTGAATACAAGTTTCCTATGTCCAGGCTAAGGTTCTTTTCACTATTCCATGTGGTCCACGGGAATAGTATCATTAACGGGGTCAAGGTGCCCCCTGCTGGTTGTGTGCTGTTTTTAGACAATTCGAATCTTGGCTCTGACACTTTCAATTTAACAAACATTTTAAGGCCCTTTTTTTCCATATGGAAGGTACTGTGGGGGGCACTGGAGAAAAGGGGTCATGAGGGTCATTAAAGCATTTTTAAAAAAACACACAAGAAAACAAAGGAAAGCCAGAAGGAATCACAGACAAGTGGGACGGCTTTGAAAGTTACCTGCTGAATTGATACTTAGAAGAAAAGCAAGCTCAAAAATCATAGATATTTGTAGTTTTACTTACAATCTTCTGGTCTACTCTATATTTGGAAATATATACTTTATTTGGTGTTAATTTCAGAATTTATAATAAAACCCATCCTAGCCTGTGTCCTCAACGAAGCTAGTCTCACTGGAATCTACAAATGTACACCGATTATTAAATACAATTTGAGGAGGGAGGCAGCTTCCTGTAGGAGATAATCTCTGAATCGAGTAAGAGGACACTGCATCGTAGACATGCAGGAGAGCCTGGGTAACATCATGGAGATATGAGATGGAATCACGAGTCTAGTAAACAGTTACTGGTCCCATTTGGTTGGAACTGGGTGCGTGACGGAGGGCACAGTGAAATAAGTCTGAATGGGTTGGCTTGGGCCAGAAAAGGAAGATCTTTAAATGACAAACCGAGGAGTCTGTGACTTATCCTAGAGGCGATAAGGAACCCCTGGAAATTCTTGAGCAGGGAAGTAGCACGGTCAGATGTGTGCTTTAGGAAGATTATTTTTTTGGATTGGAGGAGGAGAGTGGAATCATGGAAACCAATTAAGAGGCTATTAAGCTAGTTCAGGCAAGAGATGCTGAGGTCCTGAACCAAGTAGTGGCTAATTGAGGGAAGAGAGGGAATAGATGTGAGCTACCTTGAGGAGGTAAAGTCATTAAGATATATGAAAGGGAGATGAGGAAGAGTCAAGACTCAAAAATGACTCTGAGGTGGCAAACCTGGTTAACTAGAAGAATGGTATTGAATTAGACTTTGCTGTTGTTCAGCCATTTCAGTCATGTCTGACTCTTCATGATCCCATTTGAGGTCTTCTAGGCAAAGACACTGGAGCAGTTTGCCATTTCCTTCTCAAGCTATTTACAGATAAGGAGACTGAGGCAAACAGGGTTAAATGACTTGCCCAGGGTCACACAGCTAGTAAGTATCTGAAGCCAAATTTGAACTCAGGTCTTCCTGACTCCAGGCCCAGAACTGTACCCAGCTGCCTTATTAGGAGGGATAA